CTGTTTACCCCGTTCTCCAGTTCATTTATGAATAAGTTGAATAGGATTGGTCCGAGGACTGACCCTTGGGGAACACCACTAGTTACCCCTCTCCATTCTGAGAATTTACCATTAATTCCTACCCTTTGTTCACGGTCTTTTAACCAGTTCTCAATCCATGAAAGGACCTTCCCTTTCATCCCATGACAGCTTAATTTACGTAAGAACCTTTGGTGAGGGACCTTGTCAAAGGCTTTCTGGAAATCTAAGTACACTATGTCCACTGGATCCCCCTTGTCCACATGTTTGTTGACCCCTTCAAAGAACTCTAATAGATTAGTATTACTTACAGCTTACTTTCACCTCTGATTACAGTATAACATGCACTCTACCAGTTGGTATTAGAGGGCTCCCAGAGACACACTCAGTACATTGTCACATAGGCTATGCTGGACTCCATTCTAAATGAGCACCTACCTGTGTGCAACCTAAGTGTCAATAGGAAGGATCCTTTTTCTTTTGACTCACATTGCTTTCCCCATTGGAAGGAATGTAGGCAAGTCAGCAGATGAATGGCTACCAAGAATAACCCTTTCTTTATTAAAGATGTGAGGATTTTCAGAATGGTTTAATAAAGACAGAGAGACAGACCTGAGATCCCTGCAGCCATAAAGAGTGTAGCATCTCCCAAGGGGCTGCTTTGCAAGGTTCCCTCATCTGAAGAAAGTGAATGGGAGGGGTCAGGGTGACTCTACTTTCCTCCTCAATCATCGTAAGGGTTCCCCAGTAGTTTCTAAACTCTAGACACATGGCGGTGAAAGAGTGATTGTTGCTTTCTTCAGTGAGAATAGTCCATGGGTAATTTGTAAGAGGACTGGGCTCTTCAGTAGTGTCTGAGTCAGTGATGAGGGGCTTTCCCTCCAGTCAGGAGAGCAGGAGAGTCTGACATTGCAGTTGTCTCACTCTCTCTGCTCTAAATTTGTAACACTGTGTCATTATTATTGTACAATTCAGAGGAGCCTAAAGTGAGGATCATTTCTGAAGGTTTTTAACACTGATTTCTTCAGCTGTCATATACCAGGTCAACAACAAGGAGTCTGGTGGCACCTTAAAGACTAACAGATCTGTTAGTCTTTAAGGTGCCACCAGACTCCTTGTTGTT